CTTGCTTGTTTAAGCCTTGCAACTTCTCTTGCCAGACTGTATATTTTAGTTGTCTCTCTGACTTCTTAGCTCCTAAGCTGAAAACTGGAAGTGAGACTGGCTTTGCAATTACAAGAAAAATGGAAAACTGTTTTGTTTGGATTTCAGCAAATTCARTTTAAGGTCAGATTTTTTTCTTTAACAATGCACGCTGTATCTTTTTATTCCTTAAGGCATCTTTTCAGCAATTTGGCTTAACTCTGTGGTCATGGGGGTGGAATTCTTTATCTTGGCTTGATATAGGCAAGCTTTCAGAGCATGTGTGGGTTAGTGTCTGACTTGGTGCACAGGAAAACATAATCTTTTTGTCAGGTGGTTTCTGGTTCAATGAAAGAAGTTTTTGCTTGGGTTTCTTTGYATGACAGCGGCTTGGTAACTTTGGGAAATAGCTTAGGCTTTCAATAAATAAGTCCATTCCATTAAAAAAATTATTGATAAATAAAAATCAACACTGTAATGTATGTGGCATGTTTCCATTGCGGATTCAGAAAAAAATCAGAGTAAAATAAACCAAAATAACATGAGGACACTCTTAAGTGTTATGTTGTGAAATCTTTCTCTTTCAATGGATAGGAAAAGTAAAGGATAATTGAGCGCTTACCTTCAGGTGCATTATTCTACAGTTTCTCGAAATCCTATTGATTTGTCTTCATAAAATGAAAACAATATCTAGTTATCTGTCATGTTAAAGATTATTTTGATTCAAGGAATGGTTTTGTTTGATCATAGTTGTGACCTGAAGAGCAGAACATGCTCTTTTGTTCTCCTAAAAATATAGTTTTTCAATGCAGACAGAGGAAGAAGTTTTGACACTAATCAGTGTAGAGGCAAAGTCACCAACATCTGCTACACTGAGTTTTTGATAACAACTTCAAGAGTTTGGAAACTAAGACACAAAATTGATGTGTGAGATCAACAGAGTTACAGTAATTCATTTAAAGGCTTGACTTAATCAGTGTCTCGGGTTCCTGTTCCTGTAAAATATGACCTGTATTGTAATAACTTTTTTACTAATTAAAATAACATTTGAAGTGAAAGCTCAAATTCATTTTTTCCATGTGAACCTAGAAGAAATTACAATTGGGCCTTTTTATGATCTGGTGATTAAGTAGACAAATGGTGCACTTCATGGGTACCATAACAGTTAACACCTGTTTCAACTGTTTTATATTTGTATTGGATGGAACCTCAGCAATCCAATATGTCTTGAAAAGCAAAAATCTAATATAAAATATTTCATGGCATGGAAGAAATTACAATAAACAGAGTATAGCTTAAAATATAAAATGCTTGTTATGCACATTTACATAGGTTTCATCTGTATTTCTGAAACCAATGTAGCCATCTTGTGTAAAAGTAATCCTAGTTTTTGTGAGGGTTGGTTAAGTGATTATTCAATACCATAAAGTAAATACTGTTTTCTAAGAAAACAGTACTTCCTGAGTTGGCAGAAATGAAACAATTTGTCAGTGAGAAGTCAGGTACGACTGGATTAATTAGCATTTGGTTTGTGGTTCCTCTCAAACCCTCTTTGGGGACAGGGACCGCTGGCAGAAGGGTGGAATGCTCTCCTAAGGCACGTGCCAGGAGATAATGTCACTTCTTAATGTTTGTTACAGGTGAAGTATTTTGAAAGCGATARTTTGTCTATTAAAATGTGAAAGATTTTTTCTAATTTATTTGAACTGGGATCTGTTGTGCCTTCCATGCAGCACTGGCACGGCACTGCTGGCCCTGTCAGCCTCCCACAAGAGGCTTGTTGTCTTGGGAGTTTGAGCACTTGAAAATTCACTGCTTTTATGAATAAAGCTTGGTTTTATACTAAAACTCTAATTATTATTATTATTAAGATTACAAAAATAATTTGCTGGGGTGCACAGTCAGAGGTAAATATCTTGAGTTGCTTAATATGATATTTCAAAGCTGAAGTTTATTTTGAGAGTCGGGGTTAATACTCTCAAGATTTGTTTAGAAAAGTTGATCTTGGGAAGTGATGACCTAGGAGATTTTTTTTCTTAAACACAAAGTAAAGTTTGCTTTTATCTCAGTTTATCTGATTTGAGGTAAACCTCAACGACTTACTAAATTGCATCTGCTTGTAGAGAACACTGTGAATGGTTTGCATGTTAACGACTTCTGCATGAATTTCCTAATTCTGGAATGCTTCTCTTGCTCATTTCCCTGCAAAAGATGCTGGATTGGCCTTGCTTAAAAAAAAAAAAAATCTGTTTAGCCTTTCAATTACAAAACAAATGAATAAATTTCCCCTTGTTTTAGGCTGTCCTACTGTTTTCAGAAATGCTAGAACTGTCTTTACCTACTTTGGAGAGGAGAAATGCTTCAAGATAATTTCACGTCAATCATAAATTGATTGCAGACACGCATTGGAAGCTTTCTTAAATATAGGTGCTTAGTTTGGGAGTAAGCATAGATATAAATGTAGGTAATTGTGGGTAGCACCACAAAATTCATGATTGATGAATTCTAATGATAGAATTTAAATTTCTTTAACTGTAATTGCTCCTCATAAAAACAAGAGGAAATTTAGGAAGTGAAATAAAAAAATGAGTWTTGAATTGGTACAAAGAGTTTTATCGTAAGAGGAAGGAGGGAAAAGGGAGGCGATAGCTGGAAAAGAGCTAACCTAAAAGGAAGCATAACATATTGATTCATATAGTTTGCCTTTAAGTTTTTAGGCTTTTTTTCTTTCTTAGTGAAATATATCATTCTAAGTGTAACAYAATACTTTAAGGCACAATTCTGAGTATCTTTTGTTGATTAATTCAATGCATAATGGAGATGGTAATGCCACGATCACCTATATCACCTATATTCAATCAGAGATGATCTGTGGCATACCTCTTTCTGGATTAAATAGCACTGCATCTTGGACATGAAGTGACAAAATACCAACAGGTTGCTTTAAGTCTCTTACCCTGTGAAACRCTGTTCTGATGTACAGACCTTCATCTTCAGTGTCTTTCCTAAAAACCACCATACARTCTTCCCTGCCTTTTTATAGATGACATGAGACCTGGCAAATGAGTTGTCATAAAGCATCTTATGTGCTGAAAAGCTCTAATGAAAGACCATATCWTTATAGTATGATGTAACAGCTAAACCCACTAGTTATGAACTGAAGATTTTTCTAAAGTGCCAAGTGCTCCAGCTTTTCTGTTGTCTCTACTGTTGTGTTTTATTTTCTGTGAAGCCATTTTGGGATGTTTTCATTCCCTCTTCTTTCCCACTTTGTCCGTGTTTGTTGGATTCCATCTGTTGTGCCATCAGTTGTTGGTGGGGCCAGGCTGTAAATCAGGTCACCAGAATGATTCATATTAAAAATAAACCTACAATAAAAAGCTTGGAATCTGCTTTGTCAGCATTCTGCTTAAATGCCCTGCAGAGCATCACTGCTATTATCTTAAGCCATCTCTTGTTTGTATTCAGTTTGGAAATCATGCATTTGCAGCTGGAACAAAATCTGTCTATTCTCAAAACTGCAACTTCAGCCACACATCTGTCGTGTTCTCTTATCCAATTTATCTCCCATGCCCTCTGATTAAAAGCATGTTGGTCCCATGTTCTACTTGAAATAGAGTGGTGGTACTTCTCACTTCCTAAAAGCATTTCATATCTATTTCTGAGTTGATGGAAAACATGTCAAGCAATGTGCACCTATCAAGGGGCTGTTTCAAGGAAGTTGTGTTTTTCCACTCGTATCAGTAGCTTGTGGATCTGGCAAACAAACCTTCCCCAGCTGTTTTTCTCTGCTTCCAGAAAACCGTGTTCTGGTGAAATGCACCAGTTTGCTCTTCTCATACAGGCACCTATGGGTCTTGAAGGTGAGGAGGGCTTTGTTTTCTCAGACRTTGGGAACTGGGGAGTCTGGAATTGCTCTGCAGCAAAGATGAGTGCATGACAAGCTTCATTTGCTGCCTCTGCTCTGGCTACACTGCAGTGGAATCATGAACTTCTGAACTGTTTTAGATACAACTTGCTAGCGTGCTCTTTCTCTGTGGGTTTGTTGTTTTTGAGATTTTGAGAAGCCTGTCTCAAATGTAGTGGCAGTGTTTCCTCTGGGGTAGAAGTCATCTCATGCCTCTAGCCTGTATCTGTGCACTTGCATTTACTATTCAATTGCATTAGCTGAGTCAAGAGTTCTTAAGAGTTTGGGATTGGTTGTGTGATTGGAGGAGTGGGCAGAGCYAAGTAGTTGAAATATAGTTTTGAAGTCAGGGTGATGGGGTGAGCTCGAGGTCTGTTTTGTACATGAGAAATACGGAAATATCATGAYGAGTGTAAGCTTCTTAAGTAACCCTGTACCATTCAGGAAATGTTTTTCTGCACCTGGAGTTCTTTTTGAAGGCATCCCCTTCTCCATGGAGAAGGGAATTATCCTCTTTATAACCAGTTTGAGCTATTGTGTTTTGAGCTGGTTGCTAAGTCTTGGATTGCAACACAGATAAACTGCAACATAAGCGATGTGCAAACAGTTGTATCATTTCAAGTGCAATAATTTACATTAATTAAATTTACACTTAGTGATTTACATACAAGGGGAATGTAATCCAGGTCTTGCTCTTGACAGCACTGAATAATGCAATACTTGATACAGCAAATCTTGTGCCCTCCTATATTTCTTTTGATCCTGCTGTTGGTACAATTGCAGGGCAAAGTATGCAGTGTGACTAAATTGTTTCACTTAGACCATGTGTATTTTGTAACTCAAGTAAGTATCCCTATGTAGGCAAAAATGAACTGTTCCAACTCCATCCTTGGCAGGTGACTTGTAAAAGTTTGGTCTGGGTATCACTCAGTTGTTGCCAAATGTTTATTGCATGAAAAAAAATTACCCAGTGTTGTTATTTTACAGTAGCATGTACTCACTCAGAATGTCTGTATGTAAGCCTGTGAATTTCCTGTTGTCTATTTAGTAACCAGATCCCACTTTTGTTTTACAGCTGCTGCGGAGGGCAAAGGAAAAAGTGGGGAAGACTTTTTTCAGAAGGTAAGAAAGATATTTCAGTTCTATAACAGCACCTGACTAGGGGAAAAAATACACCTATTGCCCATGCATGTGATCAAACAGTTAAACTTGATCAACTAATTAACTTMATGTACAATTTTCACTGTATTGATCAAATTTTTAAAAATGGTTTTGTCATTTTAAGTGTCTCCTTGCCACCAGCCATGCATGGAATGAGATGAGAAATAAGTTCTTTGGTGTGTGCTACTGTCATCCATGCACAAAAACAATTTAACAGTTTTTACAATTCTTTACCTGGAAATGTTACGATATGCATGATAAATGTTTATTATGCTTAATTGTGGGGGTTAACGCAGACGATGTTATATGGTGGTCTCAAGGATTTTTTCTGTGGATAAATGCTGCATCCTATTATTAAAAATTGACTTGTGACTGTGATGTTGTCAAAAGCATAGATATTTGGTTGAGAAATTCAAAGGTCTTTTAAGAAAGAAATTCACAATCCACAAAATGATTCAACAGATTTTGTGGTTGGACAGAGGCATGGAAGGACTGGAAAAAATAGTCCTGCAGCAACTAAACTACAAAGAGAAACATGGGCAAGAGTAATGACTTGGAAATTTTTTTTACAAAGCAACATGGTGGTGGGTTTTTTTCTGTGTGTTTTTTTTTTTTTCAAGAATAGTGTGAAAAACATTGTTTATGAGTTGTGTTAATGAAAATCCACATGCTGCAGGCTAATGAAAATGATGTGCTGTTTTGCCTTTAGTACAGAGAAGACAGTGTGAACTTCGATGCTGTATGCCAAAATTACTTGAAACTCCTTTTTGCCTTGTTGTCCATTGAAGAAGTTTTCTGTATTTTTTTTATGTTTTCCTTTTGATTTTAAGTGGTACTTCCAAAAAGTAAGATGTGCAAGGGTGCTTTATCCTGCATGTGATTGTGGGATGCTTTGATGAAGGCTGGTGAGGAGGAGTGTGTTGGCTGCCAAAATGTTTGGGTTTTCAGATTTATGTTGCCCTTGACTGACAATGAGAGWTATTTTTCCAAACGTGGTGTTTATCTTTAACTGTCTGATATTGGTGTGCACAGAGGACAGTGTGTAAATAGGTCCTCCTTAGGATTTAATCAARATGCTTGGGATTTTTTTACTTGCTGAAACAAAGCTAAGCCATAGAACATGTGCTTCATTCTACACATTATTCATTTTACCACAGTGTCTCTCTCACTTGGATAAATCTCCTCATAATTCTTGAAGATGTGGATAAAATATTTCTTCTCGAGTGGCTTATCTGTTTGACATGTGTATTTGATTATTTCCTGTAGATATGATGTACCTTACAATTATGGAGCTGTTAGTGTAATAGCGAAACTGTTTTGAATTTAATAGTAAAGCAGATTGTGCTAAACTTCAAGTATGTCAGTGAGTGCACTGCTTATCCACAGATAACACGGCAGCTATCTTGGCATTTATATCTTGTCATATTTGTGCATAATTATTATCTAGGCTCAGTGTGGGTGCTGCAATAGCTTAAAGCTGCTTCATTTTAACTGGAACTCTTCTTATAATGTYATCAACTCCACAGTGTAGATTTCTGAAGTTTCTAAGCACCTACACACAATACTACAGCTAATAAAACCAGATGGAAACTATCTCCTTTGAGTTCTCTTTTGCTGGAAGAAATCTTTGGACAGTTGCTCATAGCTTACTCACCATCTCTGTCTCTGCAATTTCCTTTAATCAGAGTTAAATTTTTCCTTTCTCATGTGAAATAAGGCAGATTAGGTGGAGGTAAAACGAAGACTCTTTTCATGTGTTTCAGGTTGGTGCAGTGAGGAAGAAAGTGATTTGTAGCATTAGAAACACATTGCAAACTAGGGCAGCAGGACACTTCCAGAAACTTGATATGAGCTCGGAGCTGCAGCAAAGGCATTTTTTAAAGGAGTTCAGAAAATGAGATTTCAGGAGATTATTGGCAGGATTTTGAGTGGAATGGGGAGGGAGGAAGTGCATCCTTGAAGGGACACAAATGGAACCTGAGGGTATTACTTGGATAAATAATGCCATGTTTAGTATTTTCTGATGAACTACCCTCAACATGCTGAGGTRGAAGTGGTGTGTGAGGTAAAAGTTTTCATATGAGTGTTAAAATGACAAATGACAAGGCAGAAATTCAAGAAGGTGATTCCTTATGTCCAGGCATGCAGACCAAGAGGAGGCTGGGACTGGGGGGTTGGCAGGGACTCAACCTGGATTGTTGAACTCCACAGTGGCTTTTAAATGAAGGTAATACAAGGGTTTGGTGCTAAGAGTCTTTTGCTGGTCTTTAAACATGTGAGAAAGCAGAGTTACTTGGATTTTCATAATCAAGCAGAATCTCAGTGGATGTCAACTTACCAGCTTCCAATTTTCAGAATTTAGTGACAGTTTGTATGTTAAAATGCATTATTTCACTGAGCATTTTAGCAGAAACAAGTACATGTAATGCAGTGCTGGTGGAGTTACAGAATAAGACCCAGTTCTTGGCTGCAAGGGTCAAATTCAGCAAATATTTCTGCCCTGTCATGGCAGTGAAAATCAGGTGATGAAGTGGCCCTTCCTCTGGTCCTGAATTCAAGTACAGATAAATGCCTTTTGGTAGTGTCATTTTTAAAACTCTGAAAACTTTATCATACTTTCTTCTCACATTTCTAAATTTTAGTACTGCTTCAGATGAGGGAAAACCTATCATAATCTAATGAGGATTTTCCAAAACCACTGGGAGCTACTAATAATTTAGYAAGAAATAAGTAAATAACGGCATAGTTTTCTCTGTAGAGCTCTYGGATCTGCAGTTCAGTGACAGGTAATCCTAAATAAACATGAATTGCTTTGCTGTTGTGTTACATACTATTTATGTAAAAGATCCTTGTGGACCTTGCTCTCTAAATTGTTGTTCTAATTTATTCTGTGAGAGGAATACCTAATACAAAGTTATTACATGTTCTTGATCTAAAGCCCATTTTCAGTTGATGCTGTTTTTTTCCACCAAGTTCCATAACATCTGGTTCACGCCTCAGAGGCAAGCAAGGCCCTTTCCCCAGCAAAGCCAGGACCTTGTTCCAGGGAAGTGATAATTTATGTAGCACTATAGATTCACGTGGCAGTCTTATATAAAGTATAAGAAGGTGGTGAGTCCSTGTCCTGATCCAAATCAGGTGAGGGTTGGCCATGTGGACAGAGAGGAATTCAGTCCATCATTTTGGTTTGCTTTTAGCTCTGTCATCATCRAGTTGKTTTTTTTTCTTTTTTTTCAAACACTTGGCAACCTTAGTGCTGATAATAATCTTTCATTTTGAAGCTTGTCAGGACAAGATTGTATCTCTAGCCTTCTCGAGGGACTGTCAGCAGTGGGGTGGGTGATAGGTGAAGTCTTGGTTTGGAGGAATTTGGGTGGAGTTCTTGGGCTAGCATGGGACTGCATGTGCAGAAGGTAGTGACTGGAAATGATGCACTCGTGGTGCTGTGCACAAGTGCTTGACTCCAGGCCACATCTAAGCACTTCATTTCGGTATTATTCAGTGTGTACGTGCTAGTCATGGGCTTTGGGAGTWTTCCTGGAAGGGCTCCTCAGCTCTGGCTTTCCTGGCTTTTAGAGTTCATTTGCAGAGCTTGATTTTGTGGGAAGCACAAAATTCTGCCAGCCAGCTGTAAATTGTGTTTTACTGTTCCTGAGTGTCTGACATTCTTTTACRTTTTGGGTTTCTTTTGTACCTCTTYTAAGCAAACAGAAGTGKTGTTTGTAGGCATTTGCCYAGTTGGAGATACTTAGGGATTTTTAAGATATATCTAGATTTAGGGAAATAGTGTATTTAAATGCTTCTGTTTCTCTTGACTGCAGACTCTGTTGTTCCCTGAAGGAGACATAAGCATGCTTGAAGTTGTGAAGTTGCGATTRGGCAAATGCTTCTTGCGTGTACCGAAATCTCTTCTGGTAATTATTAGGAACTCAGGAGGGTAAAGGAAGACTAGTGCTTTCTCTTCTTCATTTTCTTTCCTGTCCTTACATGTAACATGTTTAAACTGTAGCTTCTAATTTTATTAAACAATTTGYACCTCAGAAGTTACTGAAGCTGTTTTGGAAGCATGATGTGGTAAAACCACCCCTTAAAAACAGTTGATCCTTCAGTGCAGATATTTGGAAACAGTAGTAGCAAAAAAAAAAAAAACCCAACCAACCAAAAAAAACAAACAAACACCAAAAAAAAAACCACCCAACCAAAACCACCCAACCAATACACCCCTTGCAAAAATACACTTGCAGTTATTTGAAGATGTGAGAAATAGGTATGTCTAGCTGCACCTTTAATCGTATTTCTGTTAAAGTCTTTTCTCTATGAAGTAGTTATTAATGAATGTGCACTGCTTTTTATTTGTTTCGGGAGGTTCTCACAGCAAAGGAAGCTGCCTCAAGCCCTATTTGCTTATCTAAGACAGTAAAATGCTTGGTTTGCAACATCCTGTTTTTTCTTTTGTATCTTTGAAAAATATCTGCTATATTGTCCTGGGGAAAAACCTTCTAACTTTTGCAAAATCCTTATTTGTCAATATATTGATACAATATTGATATATATATTTAAGTATAGCTAGCATATTCTGATACAAATAAACTTATTTACAAGTTAGTTTTCTGTCTGCAGCAGGTCAGGCTGAAAGTTCATCAGTCTTCTTTTTTAATCTCTGAACATGAAATGTATCTAGAGCTTCAAACACAAGTGGCTTAGGGCATTTTCAGGCATTAAGAGTGTTAATCATTGACCTGAGACTAAGATGTCTCAAGCTAATTATTATCCATGTTCGGGAGTAACTTCTGAAGGGCTTTCTGTGTGTCTTCAGCCATGACTATTCCTGAGCTGCCTATTTATAAATGTAGCTCCCCTCAGGCTGTATTTCCATTTCTGATGGCAGCCACTCAGCTCTCCATTTCTTCCTGTGTTATTTATCTTGGTGGTGAGACCTCGTGAGCTGGTGGTGATTAGAC